CATCAGTCTCCAGGGCCAATACATGTGACAACTGCCGGCTATAAAACTCACCGGAGTGACGGTGAAAAATGTACAAGGCATCAAAGCACAGGAGCTGAAGCGATGTGGGGATATTTCCCTCTTTATTGGTAAGGGACAATTACACGTTTATGTGCTATAAGATGATGCATGTCGACACCGGCTTTGAACTAAATCAGTGGCGCCCGTCGTAAAAGTCTCGTGGCGCGGACGCAGATCAACGGGTGTGACGGCGGTAAATATCAAAGTCGCAATCATTTCTGCTTAACGCCGCAACTATTTCTTGCCGCACTCCATGATTTGTGAGGCGGCGTATACAAGTATTGGTTCTGCCAGGACAGGCTGTGCTATACGCGTGTTTTTGTTTTCCTTATTGTGTAATAGTGAATTTATAAGTGAAAGCATGTAAACGTGACATAGATTGCTCTCCAAGCAGAGGTTGGTAGGGAAGATTGTTACCTATCATATGCCCTGTTCAATGTCACTACGTCACAAAACGGAGCATATGATAGAAAGGCCACAATCTTCCCCACCAACCTCTGCTTGGAGAGTAATATCCGCTAATTTTCCATGCTCTCATCTAGGGTTAGTTCAAAGTCATAGTCATATAATATCTATTTATAATGCTGTTTTAGCATATAGACTACTCGTGAGTCTATAATCCGACAATACAAAAAATTGGCAGGAGTTGCGAATTTCTTGCTCTCTGCGTTACGTTCGAGCTGGGTTGTTAACTTCTGTGATGACGATGAGCATTACTCAGCTGCCATCTCCTGGTCCGACTCCTGGATGACTTGTGCCATCTTCTCTTCCAGTTTCTGGGTGCGAGCTGTGAGGACAGAAGACACAAACCTCAGCATGTTGAAATATAAAAACAAAACTAGGAAAAGGTAACATTTGGCAAATGTATAATGTTTACTCTTGCATATGGTCCACTCCGTTAAATCTTACTCAAACACAATTTTATATATATGTATATGGTGACAGGAGTCTAAATCCGTCCTGCTGTAAAATTGCAACATGGTGTAATGGTGCAACACCAGTTACCATGGTGACAGACATCTGGTGCAGGTCATTGACCTTATGTGTTTAGAACGGAAGAAGAAACAGAGCAGAAACAAAAGAAAACTGCAAGAAGATGATGGGTCATCTCACAGTTCTAGGTGCAGTGGTGATGCATTGTGGGCTGGCAAAAAGTACAAGATGCCTTGGCTTAGTTAACAATTCCCACTTGTCTAGATGTTTTTTTAATGCTGCAGAAAGTTTAAACAATGAAGATGAGTGTTGACCTCTCTGTAAGGCAGCAGTGTTTTCCGAAACGTCTAGAGAATTGGACATTGTTTGCTACTACTATTAAATGCTAGCAAAGGTAGCTTAGCTTGACGTTTGACCTAGAACACAAGGCATCACAATGCATTGGGACATGTTAAATGACTTATACATGTACAAAATGTAGTACATTTCAAGTCAGAGGAAGACAGTTGCTCAATCAAATGCACTCACTTAACTGAGCTTCACTTTTTATCTTCCTACTGTGTCACCAATCAAGAGTTAACATTCCAACTGTTGAGATAGAAAAATATACCCACAAATAGCTATGGACTATTTCTGGTATTCAGCCTGTATATTATAATTTTGTAACTACGTTGTAGATATTGTGTAGTGATTCTGTCAAGTATATGTATTGTATGTATTTTTGTGGATGAATGCCAGGAAGACTAGCAGTGGATCCTTGGTCCCACTGCTAATGGTTATTCTAGATAAAGTTTCAAAGTCTTATGGAAATATTTCTGCTACAGGGCCTTGCCTGTGGGTTAACAATCAGGCTCAACAAATGATGTTGGCACCAGGCCCAAATAACACATAACATCATATGGAGGGCTACAGGTTACTTTGTGGAATTGTTCAGATACAGGGTTGGACCTCAACCTAAACCTCTGTCTAGTAAATGTTCCATGCCCGTAGCCAGGGGGGTTCGGGGGTTCGGAAGAACCCCCCCACAAGGCTCAAAGGTCCACTTTTTATGTAAAGGTCCAAGATTTTTCTTGAAAAGATGGACTGGAATTGTAGAAAAACTGCTCACTTTTGTCATTGAATAGAAAAACTGCTCACTTTGTCATTGAATAAAAATTTATCTCTGATTTTTTCTTGGAAATCCTTTCAAAAATGCACGAAATGCCATTTTAGAAGGTTCATTTTTCAAAACTTTCCGGGGGAGCAGGCCCCCGTACCCCCCTAGGAACCTCGTGCCTACGGCGCTCGAGGTCCCCTCAAGCAGTGGAACCCCCACATTCAAAATCCTGGCTAGGGGCATGTGTTCATGTACCTGTATCTGGTGTTATGTTTACTAGGCATACAACAAGAGTTCCACGATCTCATACCTTCGCCAGACGATCTTAATCAATTAACATTTACTGAAGAATTGTTATGTTTCTTATTGATTATGCAAATAAGATAATCATTTGCATGAATTATATCTGTTGACCATATTCTCCACCCAACGAAAGTCTTATCTTAGCAAATAAAGCAAGTCCAGCATTTCTTTTAAAATTATGCAAATGAGGTCCTGATTTGAAT